TGAATTTTTAATTTTGGTTTGTCATATTAAGCATATAAAAATCCATGTAAAATTTGGTGCACTTTAGATTACACTAGATTGGTGCACTTTAGACTGGTGCCGTTTCAGAGAAATGCTGCGCGCAGTGAGTAAAATCATAGTTTTGAGAAAATTGACGATAAAAGATAAAAGTATGTTTTGTCAAACTATTAATGCATTATTTGAGAAAAATAAGTGTTCATATTAAACCAAATACATGATAAAATTATTTATGTATGGATACGTAAGTATAAAACATTTAAAAAGAAAATAAAATCACACACTTCGTGAAAATATGAAACGAAAACGTTTAACGCACTGACTAGAAAATTTACAATTTTTATACGAATTCACTTTTTTTTTTCGGGCTAGTCATATGGAGATTATTTTTTTTTTCATACTGAATGGTATTTGAATAAAATTACTTAAAATTCGCTAAAATTATGCAATACAGATTGTAAAAACGGACAATAAAATTTAGTTAAAAAAAAAAAAAACCGTTAAAATGCACCAGGTGAATATGTTTCGCCTTCATGTAACAATACGTTCTTCGCAATAGCCTTTTGTTTATGTCTCTTTTTCTTACGCATTTCTTTTGTACTTTGCAAAAGGCGTAATTCACTAGTTTTCACTCGTTGCTAGTCTAATTTACATACATATGCTCGACTACATGAACCAACTGACAGCCCAAGTTCCGCCATATCTTTTATTCTTCCCTGATTCTTCTTTTTGAATCAAGGGTCTTGGGACACAAGTTCCAAATCAAATTATTTAAATATTCATTGCAGTTTTATGTCTTTCCTCCAAGACATCTTCGCAGCAGTGTCGGTTGCGATAAATCATTAAATGTTGGTTTAATAACATCTGTTGCCTCCTACGCGGCAATATAAGTTATGTACAGCGCATTGTTTCTGCGCAACTTCAAAGCTATGTACAGCGCATTGTTTCTGCGCAATTTTAGTTAGTTAAGATTCGAACTCCTAGCGTAGCATACAGGTTTTGATCCCGTCTGGTCGGGAATTTGTCATTTTCGATTTAGATTTTTAGTTATGATACAGTCCACGAAATAAAATTGTTGTTGTTGTTGTAAAGTTGTCTTTAGTATACAGTATAACCAGCGACCTCAAACCATTGGTCACCGTCGAACCGCAGCTAATTAGAATAAAAAATGGCTAATGAAAACATAATTACGTTGAACAGAAAACGTGGTGGTATTAGAGTACAAATAACGAAATTCATCTGTTAGTGGAAAAAGTGATGATTTTGGTTTCGAACAAATAGAAGTATTGCAAGAAAAAGTGCACAAGTTAAATAAACAAATTTTATGAACTTCGCTTGGATTATTACAAAGTGTGTAAAGATGAAGAAATACCGGACATCGAAGCTACTTTTGAAGAAATCGAGATGAATATTACCAATGTTCAGGTAAGCCTGAAATGTCTTTATACTTCATTATATAGTAAGAATGCAAATAATGAGTATACAAATAATAGCATCCCAGAAACAAGAAGTAATTCATTGAATTATAAATTGCCTGAAATAACATTACCTAAATTTTCTGGCAATTTCGAAGACTGGAATTTATTTCAAAAACCAATTTGTAGCTTTAATTTCATCCAATAGACAATTAACAGATTCTCAGAAATTGTTTTATTTACAATCTTGTTTAATTGGTAATGCAAAGCAGATACAAACAATTGATGATACATTTTCTTCCTTATTTAAGGCACTTGAAGGAAGATATGATAGTAAGAGACTGGTTGTAAATTCTCATATCAATGAATTACTTTCTATTGAAAAAATAGTTCATGAAAATCCTAAAGATTTACGCTCATTAATTGATAAAGTCCAGAAACATTTAAGAGCATTAAAAGTTATGGAATTAAATATAGATAAATTAAGCGAAGCTTTGCTGATTAATATTCTTCTCAATAAAATAGATAAAGAATCACGTAAGCAATTGAAATATCATTAAATAGTAATGATTTATGTGAATGGGATTCTTTCATGACATCTCTTCAAAAGCGATGCCAGATGTTAGAAAATATGCAAAACAAAACTGCATTTGCAAAAACAAAACAAAACATTCCTCCAAATAAAGTTCGATCACTAGTGACAAAAACGAATAATAATAATAAATTTATATGTCTCGGTTTGCAAAGATAATCACGCAATTTTTAAATGCGAAACATTTCTAGCATTAAATCCAATAGAACGATACGAAATGATTAAAAAGTTTTCTTTGTGCATTAATTGTTTACAGTCAAATCATAAAGTAGCTTCCTGTCAGTCTAGACACTTTTGCTCGGTTTGCAAATCAAACATTATGACATTTTTATTAATGGACAATTTAAATCTTCTACGAAATCACTCGTTTTCAGAAATTCTGTGTTTGGTTATATAGCTACTGGTTCTTTGAAAACATCTTTTGAAAATCGTCAGAATTATTGTGGACTTCTCTGTAATGTTGATAATATTGATAGATTGGTAGAAAAATTTTGGTTAGTGGAAAATATTGGTGAAGAAAAGCCAATGCTTAGCCAAGAAGAAGAATTCTGTGAAAAACATTTCAAAGACACTTACAGACGAAATAAAGATGGCAGATTTATCGTAAAAATGCCTATGAAAGACGAACAGTTAGGAAATTCAAAGCACTTAGCCAACATTAGACTCAATCAATTAGTTAAACGTCTTAGCAAAAACGCTACATTGCAACATTTATATCAAGATTTCATAACAGAATACGAAAATTTGGACCATATGGAAAGGGTCGATGATAATTCAAAACCGGAACTTGAATATTACCTCCCCCATCACGGAGTGTATAGACCAGAGAAATCAAATACAAAATTAAGAGTTGTGTTTAATGCTAGTGCCCCAAGCTCGAATGGATTAAGTTTGAAAGATTTACTTTTAGCGGGAGCAGTCTAAGAAGATACTTTTGATATTCTTGTGAGATTTAGAAAACATCAAGTTGTAATTATTGTGGATATATAAAAAATGTACCGGCAAATTTTAGTTGATGTATCCCAAAAAGACTTACTTCGAATCTTATGGAAGAGAAACCTTAGCGACTCACCTGTGACATATAGACTCAAAACGGTGACTTATGGTACTAAAAGTGCTCCATTTTAGCCATTAGATGCATAAAGCAAATTGCATATGACGAAATGCATAAATATCCTGAAGCTGCCAAAACTGTCTTGTCAGACTGTTATGTCGATGATGTTATCTTTGGTTCATCAAACTTAGACTCAGCAAGTGAATTGAAAAATCAGCTTATACAGCTTTTTCATAGTTGTGGAATGACTTTGCACAAATGGAACTCTGATTCTCCTGAACTGTTGGATAGCCCTTCTACAAGCTCTGAGCTTTCTTTCTCTTCCAAAAGTGATAATGTGGTTAAAGCTTTAGGCATTACAGGGAATTCTCAGAAGAATGAATTCAGATTTAAAGTCTCAGAATGAATTCAGCTCAATCAAGGAGAAATCATCATATACCAAAAGAGACATTTTATCGACAATTGCCAGACTTTATGATCCTTTAGGAATGATTGGTCCTGTAATCACCAAAGCCAAGATATTTTTACAGAAATTATGGGTTCAAAAACTGAGTTGGGATGAACCACTTTTTGCATCTATTGCTCACGAATGGCAACAGATAGTTTCAAATTTAAAGGACATAAAATTAATCGTTGCATCCTCTCCAATCATCCAAGCAAGATTTCACTCATTGGATATGCAGATGCTTCGGAAGCCGCTTATGGTGCAGTTGTCTACTTGATTTGTGTCGATGAAGATCACGGCTCGTCATCTCATCTACTAGCCAGCAAATCTCGTGTGGCTCCATTGAAAACTTTATCTATTCCAAGATTGGAACTCTGTGCATGTTTGTTATTAGTTCATCTGATTTCGAAAGTTAGCAACTCATTGAAGATGCATCTAGATGACATCATTCTGTGCACTGATTCAACGATAGCACTGTCATGTTTAAAGACTTCTCCTCATCTTTTGAAGACCTTTGTTGCAAATAGAGTCTTCAAAATCCAAAGACTAGTAGAGCCGCGACACTGGAAGCACGTATAATCAGCAAATAATCCGGCAGATCTGATTTATCGTGGTGCTTATCCTCATGAACTTGTGACATCTTCCTTGTGGTGGAATGGTCCTGAACAGAACGAACTTAGTGATGCTTCTTTATTTGAACTTGACAAGACTCTCATAGATTCTCCTGCTTATCAGGATGAACTTAAGAACCTTTAGACGTTAATTTGAACTGCAATTTAAACTTGTTTTGGAACACCTTTTTTGAATTAACAAATAATTATGTTAAACTAATTAGAATTTTAAGTCTTCAGGTTTCTGTCCAATCTGAAAGGTCCAGTGAAGAAAACAGGCCCCATTAGTAGTACTGAATTTCAAGATGCAGAAATGCACTTGATAAAAATTGTTCAGGTAATACAATTTGCAGAGGAGATTAAATCACTTCAAGATCAGAGAGTAATCAAAAGTCAGGTAAAAACTTTAAATTCATTTTTAGATGGAAAAGATGTATTACGTTTTTTTTTTTATTTTATTGCCAAAAAAATTTTATTGCCAAAAAATCATAAGCTTACCAAGTTAATATTTATCCATTATCATTTGAAAAATTTTCATGCTGGTCCTCAAGCATTGTTATATTTTGTTAGGGAAAGGTTTTGGCCCATTGTTGGCAAGGACTTAGCTAGAAAAACAGTTCACGACTGCTTAATTTGTTTTCGTCATAAAACTATAATTTCAGATCAATTAATGGCCGATTTACCTCCTGAACGTGTACCTCCAAATCTAACCTTTCATAACACAGGGATAGATTTTCTAATCAAATATAGAAATCAAAGGAAAAGTGTGTTTACATAAAGTTTATATAGCAATCTTTGTTTGCTTAGTTACAAAGTCGATTAATTTAGAAATAGTATTTGACTTAACATCTGAAGCCTTTATTGCATGTTTAAAACGATTTTTTCGAGTAGAGGTAAAAGCTCATGTCTGTTTAGTGACAATGCAACTAACTTTGTAGGAGCTCACAAAGAGTTAAAGAAACTTGCTTCTTTAGTTACTGTACCTGATGAAGTTTCGGGTAAGTATTTGGCATCTGAAAATATCACTTGTAAATTTATTCCTCCTCGTGCCTCCAATTTTGGTGGAATTTGGGAGGCCGGAATCAAGTCTTTCAAATTTCATCTTAAAAGAACTATTTCCGATGCAAAACTAACATATGAAGAATTTTTAACCGTAATTGATCAAATTGAAGGAATACTAAATTCGAGACCTCTTTCTCCTTTATCTTCTGAACCTTCAGATTACGAACCTTTGACAGCAGGTCACTTTTTAATAGGTAGACCCATAAACTCAATTGTAGAACCTCAAATTTTAGATTTCTCAGAAAGCAGATTGTCAAGATGGCAAAAATTAACTAAAATGATACAGATTATATGGAAACGATGGATAACTGACTATGTTAATCACTTGCAGCAATGAAAGAAATGGTATTTTTCAAAGGACAATATAAAGAAAAATACAATAGTTATTATTAAAGATTATCAGATACCTCCATTTAAATGCTTACTAGAAAGAATTGATCGGACAATTCCTGGTAAAGATGGTAAGATACGAGTAGCAGTCATTAACACAAAGTTTGTCCAATTAAAAAGCCAATATAAAAAATGCGTTTATTGCCTATAGAGGATAACTTCAAGGATTAAGTTTCATTGTTAATAAAATATACATTGCTCTTTATTATACTTATATTTTGGTAATTTTGCTGAAAAAATGTGAATTTTGTTTACTGTTTGAAATGTTGATATACTTACCATAATTATTGAAAAAATTTGCAAATGTTCAAACTTTATGGAATTTTCTGAATTGTTTATTTCCTTCTGTAAATGATTTACTAACTTTAAGTCTTTTGTTAATGCTTAAAAAAACTGAATAGCTGAATTGTTAGCATTTGATATTTAATTGTATACTTAGATTTAGTTTGCATATCATAGATATTGCAACGTGGGGCGGTATGTTGCCTCCTACGCGGCAATATAAGTTATGTACAGCGCATTGTTTCTGCGCAACTTCAAAGCTATGTACAGCGCATTGTTTCTGCGTAACTTCAAAGCTATGTACAGCGCATTGTTTCTGCGCAATTTTAGTTAGTTAAGATTCGAACTCCTAGCGTAGAATACATGTTTTGATCCCGTCTGGTCGAGAATTTATCATTTTCGATTTAGATTTTTAGTTATGATACAGTCCACAAAATAAAATTGTTGTTGTTGTTGTAAAGTTGTCTTTAGTATACAGTCTAACCAGCGACCTCAAAACAACATCCATAACACGAAAAGGAAGTGTTGGCTTATGTCTGAATTCACTGACAGTTCCATTAGCTACAACTTTCTGGTATTTACACCAAGTATTGGGACCTATTGGACAAAACGTATGCAGCAGTTCAACACCAATTGACCGTGCGTGAAAATAGATTGCCCATATAGCATTACGCATTTCCGCCAAAGAAGATTTTTGTTCTCGAATCGTATTACCATAGTAAACAGTCAATTTGTGTATCAGTCAAGCGACCTTTTCCTCCAATAGATTTTCAATCTACACATTTAATACCTTTCAGTTTCAATTTTATGAACAACGTTCCCCGACACATTCAATTTTAGAAACGGACACATCAGAACTATGGGGCTGGGCCTCCGTTATAAATTGGAAGCGTCTTGGAATCTCCATCACCTTTGTATCCAACATACTTAACATCATGCTTCGTTTCTGACCGGTGGAAAATTCGAACCATACCGATGACCTTCATTTTACCCTCAGAATCACTGATTCATAAGACACTCCGCCTCATGTTTCATTTGCCAGTTATCATACTCTGGTGTACATACATAGAATTCCATGTATCACATGCCTTACAAAAAGATGAAAGAACCTCTGTGTCGATAACCTTACCACTTTTGTCTCCAATAACGGTTCATACACCTATTCGTGATGTGTAACCTCTCGTTTTCCATGAACCATCGCTTTAACCACAAGATTTGAAGGACCCGCAAGAATTCTTCGCAAGCAGCATTTTTCACGGATTGTTGTGCCACATGAGCACGACATAAACTTCTTTACTGTAGCATTGTATGCTTTTTTCGATACTGGGTGTGGAAGATCCATGATACCAAAAAATATTTTCATTGCCGAGTAGCCCATTCCAATTGTTCGCATGGCATAAGCATAACGAATGTTAATGTCAGCACAGTTGTTCTTCTTACCAATAATTTTTGAACTTTTAAATGCACGCAGTTCTATACAATTTCCACAATTTAAAGAAAATTTAGAACTTAGTCCACGCACAACTTCTTCTTTGATAGTGACATCACTGCCAAATGTTTTGCAGCACAATTCCTTTTTGAAAAAGGAAATCATTACACTCAAGTCCAAGATCCTAAAATCTTTAGAATCATCATTAGCTTCATTTTCCAACTGCTTTTTGGAAAGTTTTATTTTCTTTGCAGAAGCATTCACATTCAGTTGTGCAGTAGACGACTTGCAATGCTTTCGCGTTTGGATATTACCAGTAAATTTTCTCTTTTTATTTCTACTGCCAGATGATCGTTTTGGCGTCAATATACCTTCTTTCCTATTTATATTAAACTAAGGAATGAATTTTCAATACATATATTTAATTATATTATTAAATGAAAGAAAATATATCGAGAAATCTCTCACAGAATATAGAACACGTTATAAAATTCGCAAGCAAAACAAACTGAATAAATGAGTGAAAGTTAAAGTTAATATATTGCTTTCATCTTCTAGGGGGCCCACCAGCGGACGAGCGGTAAAGACGCTGAACACTAGTAGTCCGGCCAGAGATTCAAATCCCGCGAACGGGCTGGCTGCATGGGCGTTTCCGTGGCTTTCCCCATGTGTAACGTGTATACGAGCCAGTTTCACTTAGAAAGTCCTCCACGAAGGCATCCCTCCCTTTAGGCAGATAGCCCTCGTGTGGTTTGCCATAATTAAATAATCCAATCTTCTTTTAGGAAAAGCAGTGAGAATTAAATAATTACTAAATATATCTATTTCCAAGCCATTACAAAAAAAAAAAAAATGTTAGATTGCTTTCATAAACAGAATTTATCACCACTCTTCATGAGCGCAGCTGTAAATATCCAGCTGTCGAAAAAGGTAAACAAGATTTATTTTAAATTTATGGAGAAAGCTCGCTAATTGCTTATTCAGTGAAGTGCGAGAAATGTTGATCACAGATGAAGATTGTCAAAAATGCCGATTCTGAGGACGGCCGTATATGTTATTCTGGTCAATAACCGCTGTAACGGTAAAAAAAAGTATTAGACATTTCTATTTTTTTACCGGTAGTAAACTTCTAATTGCTGTCATTTTAGCTCTGTACGAAGAGTACTTATTTACTTATTTTAAAGTTAAGTAATATTTTAATTCTTTTAAACATTGGTATGGTGGTTTTTAATTCGATATTCAATTTAAGTAACATTTTAATCAGTTAAACATTCGCGCAATGTTTTTATAGCTGTGTTTTGCTATTTCTTATGAATTGTTTTTGCTATTTCTTATGAAAGTAATAATTTAATCTTACTTTAGTATTTTATACTCGTAGTAAATGTATTTATTTACATTTATCTGCCATCTTAAAAAACAACGTTTTCAACAAAAATTAATTCATTATTTTTAACGATATTTATTTTTTTTAAAGTTTCGAATACTTTACTATGCGTAAAATACCTAAAAACAACGTTTTTCAAGATGGCTGACAATTGTAAAAACCGCGCCAACAATTACGCCAAAGTAAATCGCCAAAAATCCGTGCAACCGTCTACCAAAGTAGCACCAATTGAGCTTCGGTTCTTTCTCGATATTTTTCGTTCTAATGGGAATTTTTATGCGGTTTGTTTTAAAATGTTCATATTAGTTATCTCTTTAGTATAACACAATAAAAAATTGATTTTTTTTTACCCTCAATGTGTATCTGACCCCTTAAGGACTTTCGTTAGTTAACTATGTCAGTTTAAAATTCTATTAAGTTGCATTAATCTTCTATGCTTAAGATTCCGTTTTACATTTTCAGCAAATGTTTATTAGTTAATAAAAATATGAACGAAAAAATTATCTACCAGCGGCTGAGCGGTAAAGTCGCAGAACACTGGTAGTTCGGTTCGAGGTTCGAATCCCGCGAACGGGCTGGCTGCATGGTTGTTTTCGTAGTTTTCCCCATGTGTAAGGTGTATACGAGCCAGTTTACCTTAGAAAGTCCTCCACGAAGGCATCCCTACTCTTAGGCAGATAACCCTAGAGGCTTTGCCGTAATTAAATAACCTAACCTAACCTAACCTTTCCATCTTGAGGTCACAAATCATTACGCGATTTACAATTATTAAATCCTGAAAAACGCATATCTGAGATGTTATCGTCATGCGATGATTTGTAGGTATTTTATGTTTTACCACGATATTTTCACGACGATGTTTTTAAACTGCGAAGATTTTGATTCGCTTTATTTTCGACTACGATATTTTGTACCACGATGTTAGAACTGCGATGTTTTCTCTCTGCTTTATTCCCCCCCCCGATGTTTTTGTTGCACAATGTTTTAGCCTTGCGTTATTTTCTCCGCGACGTTTTCGTCCTCAATGTTTTCGGCGATCTCTAACCGAGAGAGAAATTGGTATCGCGTTGATTCAGATAAAACGCAATATATGCTGTGGTATTCAAATCTGAAATCATGCGTTAGTTCGTCAAAAGCTTTGCAGTTTGCATCAAAATAAAAACTTCAAGATGGTGTATGTACTATCTCTGGAGATAAGAAATACCAAGTGGCATTAGCTATATAACGCTAATTGGGCGGCCGAGGACAAACAAATGAAAATAGCATTTGATCTAATGAGGATAACAATGTTTCATCTATTTTCGATTCTAATCCTTAAATATCAGCACTGTCTTGAAAGAGGATACAAAAATGTACTATACATACAAAGCTGCTAACCTGAACATTGATTCATAGTTCGAAGTTTAATGTTTAAATTTCTATCATACACAGTTCTGTAAGACATATAAAAAGCAATTGGAAATCTCCGATATGAGGCAGAAGCGGGATTCATAACTCAGTACACACCTAATGTTCTTACGCGAATTCATGAATATAAATGTACTATTGCCAGTCAGCAAAATTAAAAGTTCGCAGCAGATGAAGAGCATTTTGATTATGATTGCATTTAGTCACAATTATCAGCTAAAAAGACTTCTTTGAATCGCAGTTCTTCTTTCGAATAAAATGCGTTTTCGGATGAACCTAAACAGCGTAGGCTGCTCTGGAACTTCGAAATCCGAGAACATCCATGGAACTGAATCTGTGTCTGTCTCAGTCTTACCAGAAGCCAAGTGGTGAGGTCCCTAATTACTGGTATTTCGGTCCGTGGTTCGAATCCCGGTGAATGGGTGGGTTGCTTGGGCGTTTTCGTGTTTTTCACATGTGTAACGAGCGGTGTCCGCCGATAACATCGCGGACGAAAACGTCGCGGAGAAAACAACGCAAGGCGAAAACATCGTGCTACAAAACATCGTGGGAGAAATCATCGCAAAGAGAAAACATCGCAGTCCTAAAACATCGTGGTACAAAACATCGTCGTCGAAAATAAAGCGGTTCAAAAACTTCGCAGTTTAAAAACATCGTCGTCGAAAATATCGTGGTAAAAAATAAAGTATTTACAAATCATCGCATGACGATAACATCGCAGACATGCTTTTTCCATACATGCTTTAATAACTGTAAATGAATATTCCCATAAAGATTTGTGAGCGCAAAATGTAAATTAGGATAATTTTTACTTTCACATTTTTTATTAACTAATAAATTTTTTCTGAAAAAGTAAGAAGGAAACTTAAGCATAGAAAATTAATTGCAACATATAGATTATACTTTTCACGAAAAATTACCAGTAAAAACTTTATAAAAAATTTTTATTAATGGCCTTTGTTAGTTAATATATATTTAATATATATTTCAATACATATTTGGGGTCAGGGCTATTATGCAGGGTGTATCAGTACAGCGGTGACAAATTTTCAGGAGTGAAGAGATACACCTAGATGATCGTATATCACATAGTAATGCATGGTCCTTTCGTGGCGCGGTGGTGAAGACACAAAACGTTAAAAAGGAAGGACACAAACAGTGAAACAAAACATAGTTTATTATGTTTAGTACAACAAAAACCTACAAATAAGAAACAAAAACAAAGAACAAAGTGGCAATGATCATCATCAAAGAAGGCGTTCGAAATTACGACCCCGGACCGTGATGCAAGCCTCACTTCTCTGGCTAATAGAAGATCTGTATCACGAATGCAAGATCGCATGGAAGATGCATGACGCAGAGTTCCTGCATCAGGGTCCGGGTCGTAATTTGGAACGCCTTCTTTGATGATGATCACTGTCACTTTGTTGTATTTTCTTTGTTTTTTGTAGGCCGAATAATAAACACGTTTTCTGACCCAGTTCGTGTCCTTTATTTCTTGACTTTTGTGTCGTCACTACCGCTCCAAGAAAGCGTTTACGATCATGCATACCTATGAGATTTCCTATCGTCTTGGTGTACTCTATCCTCTATCTCTTCTGAAAGTTTGTAACCGATGTACTGATACACCCTGAAGTTCATACTGCGGAGCTTCCGATCCATTACCGCACGATTTCAGTACTGCACATCACAGCAGTCTAAGAGTCAAGTAATCGCTCACAATCACGTATCCTTACCAAGAAAAACTTCAAAGGCCTATGCAGTAACTATGTATACATATATGTTTTCACAAACAATCTAAATTCTCATTCAACAGTTGAAACAAATGGAATAATCTTAAATCTTCTTACATTGTCTCTTTGCTCGTAAATAGATGTTGACGCTGGGAAGGTTGTCTTCTAAATCCAAAAGCTACTAAACGTTTACATGCACCATTTATTAATCGTTTTTACACACACTCAGACTCAATACAGGAGACACGTAACGGAAAAACAACATAGCAATAAATCAAAAAGCATTCCGAACCTCAGCATTGGAAACTTCAAATCTTCTACAATTCTTGTAATATCTCAAAACTTCACGAACAGTTTTTCTACATCTTAATATCCAGAAGTTTTCTCTCAGTTGAGCCATTAACGTTTGTACTCCAGCATGGCTCAATATTCTGTGGTGTTTCAAGATAAGCAAATGAACAACTGGATGTTTGCTGGGCAATATTATTGGCCGTTTGAAACTGATAGTATAATCTCGTTGTATGAGACGTGTAGTAACACGGATTAAACCATCTTCATCAAGTTGAGGATACAGATATTTCAGAACGGGATTAATTATTAAGCCTAAAGCTTCTTGCTGTATGCCTTTTAGTAATATCAGTTCAGCTTGTTCTATTTCCTTGACAGTCAAATCTTGATAGAATCGTTCTAACTTAGGCTTCTTGGCAATTGCTATGAAACGTTTCATCCAGGCAAACGTTCTAACTATCTTCGAGTAGGAAGAAAACCTATTGTGGTACCAGGGTACCTCCCTTTTAGTATTAATCATGGCCGTCTTCCTTCTCTCTTGATTTAAACTTTCCTCATCAGCTACGATTTGAGATTGTGGCCATTCCTCTGCTGGAAATTTTAACCATTTTGGCCCTTGTAACCATCCTGCTTCAATAAGGTATCTAACAGAACAACAGAACATCCTCTAGACCATAGGTAGGCAACGCGGCGCCCCCGATCGATTTTTAAAGCGCCCTTGCTGGACTAATGTGAATGTATGATAGCCAAAGCGATTTACTTACTCTTGTCAAACGGCGATATACAGCAAGTACTGTCTGACCACGTATTCCAGATCTATGTAAACATCCGGTTTGGGGCGGAAGTGGGCACATTTATCAGTTATGTAGAGGTGAGTGCAGTAGCCTGACCTTCGATTTCACCCACACCCCTTCGACCTTCGAGAGGGAAAAATACCCGCGCTTTTCGCCCACACACCCCTTCAATTAAACTGACCCATCTTGGCCCTCAGCCAAACTGCTCTCGCTAGCGTGGTTAGACAGTAGTCAGTTGAGTTTAGGATTGTGCATAGATTAGCAGTTTGCTAACCTTGAGCGTATCTAATAACACGCACGTATTTTTTGTTAGTGTATGATCGTATTTCGAATAGACCACGCGTAGACCGTGCATTTAAAACTACCAAGTAATCCGAAATAATTCTTTTCTTTCAAAACCCTTCATGGATAAATGTAAAAGAAAAGGAACATATTATTTTAACGATTAATGGGAACATCTATATTGTTTCGTTGATTACAAAGGGAAGTGTATTTGTTTGTTGTGTAATAATAGTGTTGCAGTTCCCAAGAAAAGTAATATTGAACGATATTTTTAAGACCGTTCATACCAATTTTGATAGTGACTATCCAATGATCTCTGAAATTAGAAGAAAAAAAATTATTTCTTTAAAATCTTCAATAACTAACCAGCAAAGTTTTTTTACTAAACCACTGCAACAACATAAAGCAGCAACGATCGCGTCATATAAAATATCGCATTTGCTAGCTAAGAATAAAAAACCATTTACAGTGGGAGAATTAGTGAAAGAAGCCATGTTAGAAGCTGCTGATTCACTTTTTAAGGAATTTAAAAATAAAAAGGAAATAGTTTCAGCTATAAACACGTTTCAATTATCAGCACGAACTGTTACTAGAATTGAAGTAATTGCGGAGAATTTGGTGGCAGAATTAGCAAATGATATGGAAAATTGTATTTTCTTTTCGCTACAGATGGATGAATCGGCAGACGTGACAAATATATCACAATTAGCAATTTGAGTGAAGATGGTATTTTCTGATTTTACAAAAAAAGAAGAATTCCTTAAAGTTCTGCCATTAAAGGAAAGCACCAGAGAAGAAGATATCTTTTCTGCTTTTAAAAAGTATATAACAGATGTAAAATTACCTGTACAAAAGTTATCGCTAATTACATCAGACGGGGCACCAGCGATGACTGGTGTAATATCTTGTTATTTAATAAATAAATATAATTATTGTTGAAGGGGCAACTCCATATTTGTATTAAACCGTTACTCAGCAACGTGAGATATTGTTTTAAAAAGATTAGAATTCTGAAGATTTTACAGCTAGGAGTATATAAAAATTTTGCCACTTAAGAATTGTATAAAATTTGTCTATCACGGTGAACTAGAAATAAAATTTATGTTCTACTAAGAAGATCGTCTGTTTTGTAAATTAGTGCAAAATACATTACAGTCTTAATTAATTGGAGGTTCCACCGAAATACTGGAAATTAGGAGTGCAAATATCAATTTCGATGGTGCTGGTCTCCTAATCCCAGAAATTTGCTGAATTTTTCAGAACAAGTTTGCTAATACCAGTTGCCGAGTTTGTTTATTTCAAGGAGAAATGGATGTAAGAAGTCTGCCGTTTTAAAGCCAGATTTGAAGCGGATCATTCAAAGTTTATCTTCTGTGTTTCTATAACTTGCGTCCGAGCAAAAAATCTGTCAAAACAGGATACTGCTGATCTCTGAAGATAAGAATAACTTTTGGTTTTCTTAAAAAAAGATTTTATTGAATTTTAATACTTTGTTTCAGATATATAGTTTATCGTGTAAGATTTTGTTTAAAATAACTGACATTAAAAATATTCAGCTTAAATTTATAACTGATATTTGTGGTAAAGAAGTATTTTAAAATTATTATTTATGCTTGACTTTTATTTGTATTGAAATTTTATGTTGATAATTGATATGTGTAAGCCATTCCGGCATTTATATATATAAAAAAAAAACTGCTAGCTGAGTTTTGAATTTGTTGCCAAGCACGCGCGTGAAAAATAAGTAACAACGTCAAACTGACGTAGTGTGATTTTATTATACTGCTGAATTGGCAAAGGTGTTTTCTTAGTTCTCGCCATCCAGGCGTGTGGTAGATAGTAAGGTCCTCCCGGCGTATTACAGATTGTATATTCTAAACGTTGTATTGCCAAACTGGCAAAAATTGTTTTTGTTATCGCCAACCAGGCGGAGAGATAGATAGTAAAGACGTCAAACTGACGTGGGTAAAATTCCATTGTATTGCCTAACTGGCAAAGGTGTTTATATAGTTATAGCTAACGAGGCTTGTGAATATTAAGTTAAAACGTCAACCCGACGTAGTATTATAGTATTTTGTGCCAACCTGGCAATGTTGTTTAAATAATTCTCTCCAATTGGTTAGTGTGAATTTCGTATTTGAGAAATTAAGTATAGCCAGAAATTATACATTTTTAGTACAAGTACGATCTTTTAGATTCAATTTCAAAAGGGAGCCTAATAAAGGTAAGTTGTGTCAACATGTCATTCTAAGCTAAGAGTAAAAAACAGGATTTAAAAGTACTAGCAGAAGAGTTAGGTTTAACCGTGAAACCTGAATTTAAGATTGCTCAGTTGCATAAACTGATTACTGAAAGTCCCGATTATGATGAGGAGTTTACTCGAGAACTACTGGCTGCAATTAGAGAAGAAAGGGAACGAAAAGAAGAATGCGAAAGAGAAGAAAGAGAAAAAGAACGCGAAAGAGAAGAAAGAGGAAAAGAACGCGAAAGGGAAGAAAGGGAAAAGGAACGCCAAAGAGAAGAAAGAGAAAGAAGAGAAGAACGCGAAAGAGAAGAAAGGGAAAGAAAAGAAGAGCGTGAAAGAGAAGAGCGAATTAGAGCCTTTTAGCTACAGAAACTTTGGTTCGAAGCAATGGCTGCAACAACACAGCCGGTAGAAAGTACGCAGTTACCTGAGCAGCCTTTAAAAATCAGAATTCACGATGTCATGCCACGTTTCAACCCTAAAGAAGATGAAATAAGTTTATTTCTGGTGTTATTTGAGCGTCAAGCTAAAATAATGAATATACCTGCTGAAAATCAAGTGACTCAACTTATTTCATTGCTGCCTCCTGACATTGTTCAGCGTATTGCTAGAGAACCAGAAGAGGACGCGAAAAAGTATGAATATGTAAAAACTTTACTGTTACAACGATTTAAATTGAGTGCGGAAAAATTTCGACAACTATTTAATAAACACCAAAAGTCTACTGAAAGTACTTGGTATAATTTCTACTATGAATTAAAGAATTATTCAGAAGGATGGCTTAACGGATTAAACATTAAAACTTTTGAACAGCTAAAAGATCTCATGCTGGTTGATCAAATAAAAAAGCGCACTTCTCCTGATTTTAAAGAACATTTTATGGATTAATGGACAACCATCATTTCACCTACTGAAATGGTTAAGAAAATTGAAGATTTTGAAGATGTGAAAAAAACAATAAAACCGAAATTTTCTGCAATCAGACTGAGAAAATTAACAAAGGATCATTTAAACCGCGTTATGATAATTTTGTGAAAAAAATAGAGCATCCGCCTCATTTTAAGCATTCTGATAGATGGGATAAGTCAAAATACAAGAAAGATCATCAGCAAAGGAATCAGTTCCAAAACAAAAACCAAGAACATTTATATGACAAAAGATATCGACCACGCTGTTTCGAGTGTGAATCATACGAACATTTTAAGCCTCAGTGTCCTCGTTTAAAACCAAATGAAAAGGTAAATTGCGTATCTTCGAATGATGATTTGTTAGAGACATATACAATTAACGGTTCAGTGAATGGGTATAAAATGCCTATTCTTCGAGACACAGGAGCCACTGTTGTTGTTATTTCTCGAAAATAAATTGATAACGCAAAAATGACTGGAGCACATGTCTGGGTACAATATCTTTTAAATGACCATTTAGTGTGTCTACCGTTAGCGGAAGTTTAAATTAATTGCAAACTTGGTCATATAAAGACAAAGGCAGCTGTTGTTACAAATGATCCCGGAAGATATGTATTGGGTAACAAAACTGCACAATTATTCATAAATAAATCATTCTTAAATTTAGAAAAAAAATTAATGCGGTTTTGACACGATCTCAAGTAAAAAGATCTCATGAAGATGATCGAAGCAGAGAAATTGAAATGGAGAAATTAGAAGAACTGAAGATTATTGAAACTGACGAAGATATTTTACCTCAAGCTGATGAGGAAGACAAGGAACTTAAGAAGTTATTAATGCTAATTCAAAGGAATTATTTGAATCTCAGCATCAAGGCAGAGATCTAGCGTCATTGCTTAACGAAGCTAAAAGTGAAAATTAAAGCAAAACAAATGATTTCAAAGTAAAAGAAACGGATTGTTGGGGAAAATGAAAATAGATAAAAATGGAAATGAAAGGGAATTAATTGTTATTCCTGAAAGACATAGGGATCAAATGCAGAACTATTCATCCTTGATGCAGATCCAAACAAATCGTAGTGCTAAAACTCAGGGTAATTTAGTTAATACTCACCTTCCTAGGAGTCAAGCCTCTGTCAATAGTTCACAGAAATGAGACAAATAATCTAAGCGTGCATCTACTGATGAGAAAACTGAAGTTATTAATATGAAAGCTGACTCACCTTGTTCACCTGGTGATTCACATTTTATGGATAGTGTGTATGAATATTCCTCTGCAAGTTCATCGGTTCCTTCTTCCCCAAAAAGTAAAGATGTGTTTGACAGTTCGTTAGCAGCAGATCAGAGAAATTCTTATAAAAGAACTCATGAAGGTGCTTCTAAAGCTGAGAAATTAAAAATACATTCAGAATATAAGCTTGCGTCAGAAAAGTTAG